TGGTTCACTGTATTGTTTTACGACTGCTAGTATTTTAATTCAAGAATTATATTTTAGGGCGCCTGGGTGACTCAAGTCAGTTAAGCGGCTGCCTTAGGCTCAGGTCATGATCCCAGAGTCCTGGGATCAGAGCCCCACATTGGGCTCCTTGCTCAGTGGGGAGCCTGCTTCCCCCTCTGCCTGCTCCCCCTGCTTGTGCTCTCTCTCTCTCCCTCTGTCAAATAAATAAAATCTTTTTAAAAAAATGAAAGTTAAAAAAAAGAATTATATTTTAATTACATAAAACAAGGTATATTTCTATGATCTTCAGGTGTATATAACAGATAAGACATACTACTTGTTCTGCAATCTCCATTGTTAGAGACTGTCCGCAAATTAAACATGTTAACACTAACCAGATTATGGTAGCTACTAAACATCGTATAAAAATCTATGATAAGTTTTCATGTACTTAAAACTCAATAGCAACCAGTATTTGGAAATCATCAACTTGGATTTTTCCAAATGCTTCATGAGAGACTTACCGGGTCTATAAGCAAAGATTAACCAAAGGTCATGTAGTACTGTCATACTAAAGAGACTAGAGAAGACACTGAAGAAGTGTGCTGGGCAAAAGCAATTAACTGCGCCCTAAGGCAGACAACAGAAGCCAAACTATTGGCAGAGAGGGCTGATCAAGGACCCTGGTAACAGGAAATGATCCCACACCAGACTGCGAGTTTGATGGGAGAGGCCCTTCAAAATCCCATGACTTTATTGGATCATCATCATCCACACAAACTTTTGTAAGCCCCTTTTTAAATAAAAATAAATTATGTCTGTAACTTTGTGATAAGAGTTCTTTCTAAACATGTGTGATTCTTTGCTCTAAAAATATTCTTCATTAACAAATAAAATCATCCAGGATCTTGATGATATGTGGACCTCGAATTAAAGAGTAATGTACCACACACAGAAAAAAATAGATAACACCAGTAAAAAAATCAGCATCTCTTAAAGAAATATGGCCCTGTGAAGCAAGCTGTTGTAAATGCTAATTTGCATATCTGCCAATTGTCACCCCTTCTGGGGTATAGCCACAGCCGCAAAACCCTTCCCCTGGCATTAACACAGTTACTTACTCCCTCAGTTCTCCTTTGGTTTGGAACCCCCTGATCTTAGCTCACTACAGAAGTATAGCCAGAATTTTTCCATCGCAAATGCCTTTTATTCAATGGTTGATAATCCCCTTGTATTCTAGGTGGCACTTTTCATTTTCCTGGTGAGTGCTCCAGAAGTAGTCTAAGGATAAACATCCTGTGTAAGGATGTATAAGGATTACATCCTGTGTAATACATTTTGCATCTCCAGAACCTCGTGCTCTAAGTAGAAAGCAGTTACACTCACACCGAAGTGATGTTGAACAGACTTTCATTTATATAATCTTCCTGATTCTTATATGATCCATATCAAATAGCCACAAATAAGCATTGACTGATGTTTTCCCAACGCTTCTCTAAGCAACGGAGAGATATATCGATAACTAAAATGGATTTGGCAAATTAAGCCATGCCCAAAGACACTGAGGATCATCCTAAGAGAATGGCATAGTTGAACCCTATGATAGCCTGTTAACTGAAATAGCAGCAGGGAGGAAGACAATGCCTCAAATGCGCACACAGTTCCCAGACAGTTTGAAACATTGTACTGTCATGGGGACAGAAACCTGGTCCCAATTAGAGTCACTTTACAATATTTATTTTCTTTTTTTTTTCCTACAATACATACTTCCTCTTTTTAAAGAGAGTCAGCAAAGATGGAGTGCCCACACCACTTTGGAAGCCTATTCCTATGTAAATAAGAGCATTTGTTTTATTCAGATTCCCACAAACCGTGTCCTCCATCCAGTAAACATTCGAAACAGCAGAGCTATAGACTCTAAATCACTGGGTGCCATACCAGGCACTAAAAAAGAAAAAAAAAATGTATGTCGAAGCTGAATTGTTTAAAATTAGACAGCACCAAAGCATCTGAGTATATGCCATAGGGAACAATTTTGCTTTGCATTAGGTAGCAGGATAAATACTTGTGTATCCTAATTTTATGATTTTTCTTCCACGGTAATGACATTCTGAAAATGGGGTACTGCTTTCTTGGGAGTAGGCAAACTGCTACATCTGCTGACCTACAGAAAATTTCTGAAACATGAAAAGCCTAGGGGGAATTCAGTGCCAGGTGGCAGCAAGTATTTCCTCTCAAATGGCTGTCACTGCAGGTGAACAGCCTCAGCCACTGACAGGGATCTGGAGGGCAGCTCCAGTACAGACAGTAAAAGTTGCCAGCATTCTTTTGAGAATCCCTACTGACTTCTGAATATTCAAATTATAGTTCCCTTGAAGTGAACTACATAGGCAACTTGAAGGAATGGCTACCATGAATTTTTCTATTGCTTTAGCAAGTTGCAGTTTTAAGTGGCCCTTGTGCCAATGACATTGCTTACTATGGCTTTTCACAGTCAATAAGGACTTATCCTCAGCTGCTCAGTTTCTAGCACTTTGTTGAGATCTTACGCAAAAGATATGAAAGTATTTTCCCCTAAGGAGCTTTTAATCAAGTTATTGTTTCTTAACTGATTTTAAAATATTTTTTTTATTAAGGTAAAATTAACATGAAATACAATTAACTGTTTTAAAGTACACATTTCAGTGATATTCAATGATATTCATAATGCTGTACAGCAACCAGCTCTCTCTAGCTTCAAAACTATTTCATCTCCCCATTGAAATGCCCAATACCCATTAAGTAATCACTCCCCCACCCCCATTCCCTGGTAACCCTTAATCTACTTTCTAACTTCATGGATTGCTTGTACTGAATATATTATGTTTATATTTATAGAAATCATACAATATGTCTTCTGTTTTTGACTTCTTCCACTTAGCATAATGTTTTCAAGGTTCATCCAAGTTGTAGCATGTATCAGTATTTTGTTCCTTTTTATAGCTCAATAGTATTCCATTGTGTATATATATATATGCCACAGTCTCTTTATCCACTCATCCACTGATGGACATTTGGATTGTTTCTACATTTTGGCTATTAGGCATAATGCTACTATAAATATTTATGTGTAAGTTTCCCTGTGGACATATAATTTCTCATAGGTATACAATTGGGAGTAAATTGCTGGGTCATATGGTAATGCTGTATTTAGCCTCTTAAGGAACCACAAAACTGTTTTCCACTATGGCTACACTGTTTTACATTCCCACCACCAGTGTATAAGGGTTCATGTTTCTCCACATCCTTACCAACAGTCAGTACACATAAAATATTGATATAACTAACCCTTATCATTTTACAACTTTGTAGCTAAAGATCAAAAAAGAAGAACTCTCAAATCAACAACCAAATATTGTACCTTAAGAAAGTAGAAAAAGAAGAGCAAACTAAACACAAAGGCAGCAGAAGGATGAAAATAATAAAGATTAGAGTGGAGATAGAGAACCGAAAAAAATTGAAACAACAAAAACAAAACCTGTTTCTTGGAAAAGAACAACAAAATTTACAAGCCTTGAGTCAGATGGAGTAGGAAAAAGGGAAAGACACAAGTAATTAAAATCAGAAACGAAATCACTACTGAATGTAGAGGAATAAAAAGGATTATATGATAATAATACAAACAACTGTTCACCAAATTAGATAAACTAGATCAAATGGAAAAACTCCTAGAAACACACAAATCTTCAAAACTGGCTCAAGAAGAAATAGAAAATCTCAAGAGACCTATAACAAGTAAAGAAATTGAATCAGTAATCAAAAACCTCCTAATAAAGAATAGTTCAGGACCATATGGCTTCACTGCTGAGTTCCACCAAACATTTAAAAAATTAACACCAATCCTACTTAAACTCTTCCAAAAAATAGAAGAGGAGATGCATTTCCTAACACATTCTAGGATGCCAGCATTACCCTGAACCAAAGCCAGACAAAGATACCACAAGAAAACTACAGACCAATATCCCTTATGAATAGGGACACAAAAGTCCTCCACAAAATACTGGCAAACCAAATTCAGTAACACATTAAAAGGATTAGGCTCTATAACCAATGGGATTTATCCCAGGAATACAAGGATTATCCAAAATAAGAAAATCAGTTAATGTAATACATCACATTAATAGCATGAAGGGAAAGAAAATTATATGATGATCTCAATAAACACAGAAAAGCATTTGAACAAATGAAACACCCTTTCATGATAAAAACTCTAAGCAAACTAGGAATAGAAGAAGACTTTCTTAATTTCCTTTTTGGCAGGTTAGTTTTGTTGTTGTTGCTGTTTTCTTTCCTTCTGTCAATTATTGGCAACTTTAAAGACAATTCCCTTCGATTTAAATATATACTGTATTCATCAGTTATTGCCAAAACAGTGATGCTTTAAATAAAATTTCCAAATTCCAAAACCTGTAACTCCCCAAAATAATCCTTTATTATTCTTTCTCAGCTGAGAATCAACTGGGCTTGGCTCAAAGCTTTAGGCTGGGGTCTGTTTGACCTTATGTGTCTCTTTCATTTATCTTAGACCAGTGAATAACACAGACCAGTCTATCCAGGGCCAGGGCCAGTTCTCCTTATTGAGAGCAATACATGCTGTTTCTTAAGGCCTTGGTTCTAGACTAGCACATCTTCACTTTTGCTCAAATATAATTAATCAGGGGGTGGGGGGGGTATATTGCAAGCCCAACATCAATGGAGGAGGTAAATATACCTCACCCCCTCTGTTACACTGCAACATCACATGGCAGCAGGGGATAGAGAATTGAGAATAATCCAATCCACCAAAGATCCTGTCATAATAATAATGCAATATGGAATAAACAGCATAAGGAAGGGGAGAGAGAAAAATACCAGGAATGAAGGGTGCTCTGTAAAGAAATAGTTATATGAAAAATAGGCTAATTTCTGCAATATACTACCTAAAAATGTCATTGGCTTAAAAAAAAAAAATTCTCACTCACTCAGAATCAAGTATGAATGTTCCTGATCTGCTGGCTTTTTGGGTGTCTCTCATCTGAGCAGTGACTTTGGTATTCAGGCTGTTCCCATTTTCAAGTTTATGCTTCTGTCTTCCATCTTGCAGCCTGGAAGGGGAGAAGAAAAGAAGAAAAAACGTTTACCAAAAGCATTCAGGTTATTTAACCATTTTGCCATGGAACTGACTCACCACTTTGGCCACATTCTATCAACCAGAACAAGTTACATGACTTCACCTACATGCAAAGGTAGGAGCTGGTAAATGCAATCCCTGGCTGCACATTAAATAGTGAACTACAGGGCGCCTGGATGGCTCAGTTGTTAAGCAGCTGCCTTCGGCTCAGGTCATGATCCCAGAGTCCTGG